AGCACCCCACCATCTTGAGCTAGCCAGCTGTCCCCCCCGTACCCCTTATTCAGTTCCCACTTGGCTCCGTTCCTAACATGCGCAGAGGTGAGACTCACCCTGATGTTTACTACTCATAGTTCTCGACTTAATAGCAGTTTGCTTAGTGACTGTTCGAAGTTATAACGGCATTGAAGAAAGCGACTTACGACTGTTTTTCACTCTTAACGGCCGTCGCAGCCTCCCCTGTGGTCACGTGATCAAAATTCAGACGTTTGGCAACTGACTCACACTTACGACGGTCGCAGCGTCCCCGGGAGGTCACGCGGATCCCCTTTTGCGACCGTCTGACCGGGAAAGCCAGTGGATTCCCAGATTCTGACCGGGAAAGCCAGTGGATTCCCAGATTCACAACTGTGGCAAGAAAAGTTGTAAAATGGGGCAAGACTCCCTTGACCAATGTTTCACTTAGCGACGCTAGGTAGGAACGCCAACTGGGTGCATGGGCCAGTCCGTCTCTCTCTAAGCCCAGCCCACCTCACAGAGTTGTTGTGGGGAAAATAGGAGGACCAAGTCTTTGGCATCTTTGCTATCTTGAGTTATTTTACAAGTATTAATAATAAAGGCGGGATATAAATTAAATAAAGTTGGCCAACGATTGGGCTTCCTTTTTCCAAAGGAACAAAATTCCAGAGACCTCAAGAAGCAGCTCTTTGAATCCCACACAGACCCACCCAGAGCCTAGTTGATCAAACGCAAGGCTGATTCATAATTAAACTAATATTTATTATCCAGATTTGGCGCCCGGTGCTGGACAACCGTTGAGCTTAAAGAAATGGCCCAGCCAGAAGATTTACAATTTATAATTTACAGTCCAGCCAATCCAATTTTTTTTTTTAATCCCCCTGTTCGGTTTTAACTCTTAATCTCTCGGAAGCAAATCGCAGGTCGCCTCTCCTGGAGTAAAAACCAAGGGAATTGACACAGCTTGGAAAATAAAAATTTCTCCTCCTTAATCTGATTTTTTATTTTGGGGAAGAAGGTGAAGACGTGAATCCAATCGTCAACATTAAGAATCACTAAAAGAATATTTGGCCTGTATTTGCAGAATTGGCAGGATGGGTGCCAGAACAATCAAATGGCTTCGGCAGCACTTATTGTATAATGAGAAAAGATCCACAGTGTTGACACAGGAAGGTTTTTGAGTATACACAAATGCCGGGGTTAAAATGAATAACTGCCAGCCTTGCCTTTCCGTAACCATCAGCTGGGGATGATGGGAACTAGAACCTGCAATGGCCCAGGCTTGTTAGAATACCAATCACCGTAAAGGAATAATCAATCAATCAATAGATAATTAGACACTATGTACTAGACAAATAAACAATTATAAATAATAAATAGGCAATAAATGGATAAGTAAATAATAAATCGAAAATGGATAATTCGCCACTAAATCAATAACCAATAGACAATGGATAGATAATAAATGCTTAATAAATAGAAATCGATAATTAGATAAGTAAATAATAGAACTGATCATGAGATTCTAGATAAATAACCAAGAGACGATCGAAAATTTGGATAAGTAAATAGAAATCAATGAGATACTAGATGAATAAATAACAATAATGAGACAAATAATAGAAATCGATAATGAGATACTAGATAAATAAATAACAAGTGATAATTAGACAAATAGCAAACGGAAATCAATAAGGAGATCTTAGATAAATAAACCGTTGATAATTAGATGATAAATAATAGAAATCAAGAGATACTAGATAGACAATTAATAAAGAATAGATAATAAAATAGTTGATAATAATTGATCAGTAAGTAATTGCGTGACCTCTATAAAGGCCCTATGCTAAATAAATAGTCAATAAATTGTCATAAATAAACTCAGAGCTCTGGATTCTAAGAAAAGAGGGGAAACGCCCTTCTTTCGTCTGCGTGGAGGAAGTCGGGGGAAAAACAGCAGAGAGCGAAGCGGAGTGGCGGTTAATCTGAATTAATGATGGGCCGGTGCAGCTGGCTGAGAACATGTTTTTGCACTTCCATGTCCTCGTTGTGCGCTGGGAGAGAGGTGCCTTAATAGCTTAATTGCTCTGGCATCCTATTCCTGCCACTACGAGGTAATGTCAGAAAACTGAGATTTTTATTTAGGTAAAAATGATCGCTGCTGGGCGAATCTGTATATGGCTGTGAGGAAGAGGTTAATGTAAGGCAGCAATTTAAGACACCCGAGATTTACATTTTATTTCATTTATTTGCCTCCCTCCGATATGGTCCTACAAATAACTCTAGGCGGCGAACACAGACTGGAAGTTTTTAAGAAGAGATCGGATGCCATTTGTCTGAAATGGTGCATAGGGTTTCCTGCCTGAGCAGGGGGTTGGACTAGATGACCTCCAAGGTCCGTTCCAACTCTGATATTCTATATCCAGCAAACTTTCCTCGTCCTTTTCCCCAAAAAAACAATAACCCTGTGGGGTGGGGTGGACTGAGACAGAGAGACTGGCCCAAATTCACTCAGTTGGCTTTCATGGCTAAGGTGGGACTAGAACTCGCCGTCTCCTGGTGATTGGTCCAAAGTCGCCCAGCTGATTTTCATGCCTAAGGCGGGACTAGAACTCACCGTCTCCTGGTGATTGGCCCAAAGTTGCCCAATCCATATCAAAGTCAAGATGCTTTAAAGTTAAGATTCTCCATCCATTTCCGGTTTCAGAAGTACTTTAAGAGGGTTCCCTGGTACTAAAACCAGACAGAATTCACACATGCAAAAGCAGGTTTTAGCTTGCATTGTGCAATTAGCCCATTGTTAAATTAGTCGGTTGTTAAGTGAATCCACCCCCCCCCCCATTGCTCATCAGAAGGTCGCAAAAGGGGATCACCTGATCCCGGGAACCATCATAAATACTGTATGTACCAGTTGGCAAGGATTTGAATTTTGATCCCGTGGCCCTGGGGAGGCTGCAACGGTCCCAGGTGCGAAAAACGGTCGCAAGTCCCTGCTGTAGCTTGGAACGGTCACTAAACGAACTGTTGTAAATTGAGGGAGCCCGGTATATCCCTCCCTGTGTCTCCTTACCTGCAAATCCGGGCCGGTTCAGAGTTCAGGAAGGCAGCCACCACCATCCAGTTGGAGCGGAAGAAGCTTCTGGGAGGAGAAGCGAAACGTCTTCAAAGAAAAACCAAGGATGTCCAGGTGAAAACAAGCCTCTTTGGGATAAGTGAGACCCGGAGGATGGGAGAATCTCCAAGGATACAGCAAAGCGTTCTTACGACGAACGGGCGTTAAGTGGAGGGAGTATCTCGATACGTGTGTCCCCTGTCCCGAGAGTTTTGCAGGAAGTTCTCGCCTCCAAGGTCACCTCCTCCAGAAGTTCTCACGCTAGTTATTATTCAGCCGGAGTGTAATTATATGCCCCGATCAGGATGTGAGGCACACAATGGTTTGTGTTGGCTGTCAAGAGGGCAGAGCAGAAAGGCAGCTTCAGGTCGAGATAAAGCTGACCGCCTTCCAAATTCTCCTGGACAACAGCCAGGCGAGACGTTGCTCTTCACTTTCCTGCAGGCAGAAGAAGCTTCAACGGGGGAAGTTGCTGGTCTCCGTCCAAACACCGCTGGCAGAAAATCAGCCCCCCTGGGAAGCAGGTCTTACTCCCAAGTAGGCCGTCGCTCTCCTGTAGACGATTAGGATGTGTTTTCCAAGCAAGCTTGTGCGCCTCTACGGATGGAGGGTCCTCGGGTTCCGATCACAATTAATTGGCTCCACAATTTTGGGTGCTAAGCGAGAGAGTTGTTAAGCACTGATTAGCACTGACTAGGACTGATGATGTTACCTAGTTGGGTCATGAAACGTCTGCAAGAAAACCACCAGGTTTAGAGGGCACCAAGACCCCACAGTCATCGTCGTCCTCCTCCTCCTCCCTTCTAGCACTGATAATGTTACCTAGTTGGGTCATGAAACGTCTGCAAGAAAACCACCAGGCTCAGAGAGCACCAAGACCCCACAGTTGTCGTCCTCCTCCTCCTCCTCCTCCTTGCAAACCCCTCTCCCTTCTAGCACTGATAATATTACCTAGTTGGGTCCTGAAACATCTGCAAGAAAACCACCAAGCTCAGAGAGCACCAAAGACCCCACAGTCGTCGTCGTCGTCGTCCTCCTCCTCCTCCTCCTCCTCCTCCTCCTCCTCCTCCTCCTCCTTCTAGCACTCATGATGTTCCCTAGTTGGGTCATGAAACATAACTATGAGTTGCTAAGCTTTTGCATTTTGGCTACCCAAGTGTATTTATGATGGTTATAGTATCCTGGGGTCCTGTGATCCCCATTGGTGACTTTTCTAGGCAGCTTCTGACAAGCAAAGTCAGTGGTGGAAGTTGGGTTCATTTAACGACTACACAACTTGCTTAACAACCATGAGAAAAAATGGCTATAAAACAGTACGTGACTCTGTTAACAACTGCCCCGCTTAGAAATAATTTGGGCTAGTGCTTAAGGCAGCAGGCCAGAAAGCCGGGCACTGTGACTTCAAGTCCTGCATTAGGCATGAAAACTAGCTGGGTGACTTTGAGCCAATCACCAGGAGACGGGTCATTGTAGTCCAATAAAGGTTACTCCAGGGAAGTGTTCCCCAAGTTCAACAACTTTAAGGTGGGTGGACTTCAACTCTCAGAATTCTCCAGGCAGCATGCTTTAAGAGGGGTGGACTTCAACTCCCAGAATTCCCCACTCAGTGTGTTTTAAGATAGGTGGACCAACTCCCAGAATTCCAGTATGCCTGGCTGGGGAATTCTGGGAGTTGAAGTCCACCCATCTTAAAGTTGCCAAGGTTTGAGAAACACTGAAAGGGTAACTTTGTGAGCTGTGTGGAATGTTTGTGATTCATCTCTTGGTGGTCCTCAAAAGTCTCCAGCAATGATCCCACCATGTCAAATCTTCTGAGGGACCCAACTCTCCGTCCTGGTCTCTGTTACCCTTTCTTTCCTCTCTTCCCAGAGTCACCTTCTCCATCATGTCTCCGCTGAAGACCTCAGCCCTGTTCTTGGCTCTTTTCCTCCCGTCGCTGCTTGCTACAGTGGACGACGCCTTGGGCCCACCCAGGATTGGGTCATCTACTCCAGACGGTGGCAATCGTAGCGCCAAATGTCAGGAAAACACTGAGTGCCAGGAAGGTGTGATCCTACCTGTGTGGCTCCCTCAGAATCCTTCTGTCGGAGATAAGGTGGCCCGGGCCATCGTTTACTTTGTGGCCCTCATCTATATGTTCCTGGGCATGTCCATCATTGCCGACCGCTTCATGGCCTCCATCGAAGTGATCACCTCTCAGGAAAAAGAGATCACCATTAAGAAACCCAACGGGGAGACCACCACCACCACCATCCGCATCTGGAACGAGACGGTCTCCAACCTCACCTTAATGGCCCTGGGGTCCTCTGCCCCCGAGATCCTCCTTTCCATCATTGAGATCGTGGGTCACGGCTTTCACGCAGGCGACATGGGTCCCAGCACCATCGTGGGCAGCGCCGCTTTTAACATGTTCGTCATCATCGCCATCTGCATCCACGTGGTCCCTCAAGGGGAGATACGGCGCATCAAACATTTGCGGGTATTCTTCGTCACGGCAGCCTGGAGCATCTTTGCTTACATCTGGTTATATCTTATCCTGGCCTGGTTCTCTCCCGGTGAGGTAGAACTATGGGAAGGTCTTCTCACCTTCCTGTTTTTCCCAGTCTGTGTACTCCAGGCTTGGGTGGCTGACCGGAGACTCCTCTTCTACAAATATGTCCACAAAAAGTACCGGGCCGATAAATCACGGGGTCTCATCATTGAGAGCGAGGGCGAAGTCGGTTACCCGAAAATGGACATCGAGATGGATAATTCGCTAAAGGAAGGCTCTGAAGGTCTGGGGGATACAGGGAAGGATCAAGACGATGAGGCCCGCCGGGACATGGCTCGGACCTTGCGGGATCTGAAACAAAAGCACCCCGAAAAGGACATGGAACAACTGATCGAAATGGCCAACTATCACGTACTCGTTCAGCAGCAGAAGAGCCGAGCTTTCTACCGCATCCAAGCGACTCGTATGATGATCGGAGCAGGGAACATTCTCAAGAAACACGCGGCCGATCAGGCCCGCAAAGCCATCAGCATGCAGGAAGTCCAGACAGAGGAAGACGAGTCAGTGACAAAAGTCGGTTTTGAGCCAGCTCATTATCAGTGCTTCGAAAACTGTGGCTCGGTGGTCCTGACCGTGGTCCGCCGAGGAGGGGACCTGGCCTGCGTCACTGTGCGAGTGGACTTCCGTACAGAGGACGGAACGGCGAATGCCGGTTCTGACTATGAATTTGCAGAGGGAACCCTGCTCTTCAAGCCAGGAGAGACACACAAGGAACTGCGGGTGGGGATCATTGATGACGATATTTTTGAAGAGGACGAGTATTTTTACGTCCATCTCAGCAATGTCAAGGCCACCTGGGCCGAGCCGGGTCCGGAGCCTCCTCCGAAAGCTTGTCTTGCACCTTCCAAGATGGCCACCGTGACGATCTTCGACGATGACCACGCGGGTATCTTTACCTTTGAGGGACCCTCGATGCGAGTGAATGAAAGTGTAGGCGTGGTCCACATCAAAGTGTTGCGGACTTCGGGGGCCCGCGGACGAGTGGCCATCCCCTACCACACCATCGAGGGCACGGCCAAAGCCGGGGAGGATTACGAGGAAGTCGCTGGCAAAGTGGAGTTTCAGAACGACGAGACGGTGTAAGAGCACGGCGTGGGGAGCCTGATGGAAAGGAGTGGGGAGGGGAGGGCGGTGAATACGTGGGGGAGGAGGGAGAATGGGTATGGACACAGGTGGTCTTCAACTTATTTATTTATAAAATTTGTTTGCCACCCATCTTTTTTCAAAAAAAGTTTGAAAAAATATTAAAACCGTGAGTTGTCAAAAAACAGTGGATAGAAAGGTGAACGAATGACTTACAATCACCATTGGCTCCAAAGTTTCCATTGCTAAGCGAGGCAGTGAATGAAGCGATTTGGCGCCTGATTTTATGACCCCTTTTAACCATGGTTGTTAAGCGAATCCTTACAGTTCTTAAGTGAATCACGCGGTCGCTAAGCAAATCCGGCTTCGTGGGAAGCTGGCTGGGAAAGTTGCAAGTGGTAATCAGGTCCCCCCGTGGCAAATACATGCTGCTTGCCAGCACCCCAATTTTGGCCACAGGACCCTTGCGATGTGGCGACGGTCGTAAGTGCGAGTACTGATCCTAGGATCACTTTTTTCAGGGCTGGGGTAACTTTGGTGGCTAAATGGATCATTGTAAATCGAGAACTACCTCAGATTGAGAGGAATGGTGGATTATGTGAATCGTTGGGATCAAAACAGGTCATGAATCAGAACAACGGGGGTCTTGGGGAGAGGAGAGGCCACAGAAGGGACCCTCTGCTGAATTTGGCTAGCCAGACTGGGTTTGTTTGGGGAGGGTTGCATTCTCTTAACAAAGGTATTGAGAGAAGCAAAACAAATTTCTGTTTAAACCTTGCTTCTCTCCAGGGTTTTGGGGGTGTAGGCCCAAATGAGGGCAATTAAAGGGGGGTTGTGTCCCTCCCCAGAGAGTAACTACACTTAATCCTCGGCCTACAACCATAATTGAGCCCCATAATTCCGTGGCTACAGGAAACATCTGTTAAGCAAGTTTTGCCCCGTTTTACGACTTCTTTTTGCCACAGTTGTTTTCCCTGTAGTTGTTAAGCTAGTCCAGGGGTAGGCAACCTTGGCTCTTTTATGACTCGTGGACTTCAACTCCCAGAATTCCTGAGCCAGCATGAGGGAAACTTTGGCCCCTTCATGACTTGTGGACTTCAACTCCCAGAATTCCTCAGGCAACATGGCTCAGCTTGGAAACCTCTCCCTTTCCCCTCAGCATGGCTGGCTCAGGAATTCTGGGAGTTGAAGTCCACGAGTCATAAAAGAGCCAAGGTGGCCTACCCCTGAGCTAGTCACACGGTTGTTAAGTGAATCTGGCTTCCCCATTGATCCCAAAGGGGATCACATGACCCATCTCCCCTCCCCGGGACACGGCAACCGTCATAAACCGGAGCCAGTTGCCAAGCATCTTAAGTTTGACGGGGAGGCTGCGACGGTTAAGTGTGAAAAACCGTCACCAGTCACCTTTTTCCAGGGATGTTGTAACTTTGGTCACTAAATGAACTGTTATAAGTTGAGGACCCTGAAAAGGAAGAGATACAGCTTATAGCAGCTCACAACAAGGAGCGTGGCCTCCTTAGTGGTGGCACCATAGTTGAGTTTCAGTGGCTTTTCTTTGTGGCCAAGATTTCTAAACCGTATCAAAACACAGGCCGGAAATTACAAACACCATAATCCAATTCCCAATTACAGGTTTTGTTTTCTCCTTCCCTAGTTCCTCTAGGAGGGTCTTAAAATATCAGACCCCGCTCCCGTGCTTCAAACTGCTCCATTTTTATCTCCGCTCGGAGCATTACGTGGTTTGCTATTAAAATTTTCCAGCTTTCGGTACACCGTTTGTCAGATTTAACTGTTTTTAATTTGTTTTAATGGGTTTTTCCGGCAGGAAAGAGTCGGCTACTATGGGAATTAGGTGGTGGTAGATGATAAATGTTTATAATAATCCAGAAAAGATATAAACCATAGGAGCAGGGCAGCCACGGATCTGTTTTTGCTACGTTTTGGTACAAAATGTTCGGGGTTTTATTATTATTATTATTATTATTATTATTATTATTATTATTATTATTATTATTATTATTATTATTATTATTATTATTATTATTATTATTATAACGCAAACTCCAAAAACTTCTGTGCACCTTTAAAAAACTGTTTTCCAGTTTTACTTCCTTTTTCTAGATGGCGAACAAAGCATCATTTTAAAAAAATATATCAGGAAACAGGCAGGTTTATGTTCACGTAATGACTTCGGTGCCTCTCATTCGTTCCAATCCAGCCCACCCTGTAGGGCTGTTGTGGAGAAAATTTAGAGGAGAAAAATGAAGATTTTAAAAAAGACACAATGGGGCCAGAATTTTTATTGCTAAGCAAGGCAGTTGTTAAACGAGTGGCACCCAATTTTATAACCTTTTCTGCCACAGCTGTTAAACGAATCGCTGCAGATGTTAAGGGCCTTGCAGATTTTGTAGACTGCATTAAAACATGGCTCACCCAGGTGTTGCTTCGTTTTATTGCTATTTCTGACAACAGCTTCTCTACTGCTGAATTGTATTGACCCTCTGTGGCTTACAGGATCGTAAAACAGCCATAAAATCAACATACATCATTCGTAATCAAATAATATTTAAAAAGAACAGTACAGGTAGTCCTCAGTTACAGGCTGCCTGGTGCAAGAATCAGATAGGTAGGTAGGTAGGTAGGTAGGTAGGAAGGAAGGAAGGAAGGAAGGAAGGAAGGAAGGAAGGAAGGAAGGAAGGAAGGAAGGACTAGAGATAGATAGACAGACAGACAGATGATTGAAAGGATAGATAGATAAAGAGATGAGATGAGATGAGATAGACAGACAGATGTTGGATGGATAAAGGATAGATGGACGAACGGATGGATGGATACATAGACATACGGATGGATGGATAGATGGATAGATAGATGAGTGGATTAAGATATAGATTGTTAGAGGAATGGATGGATAGATGGATTAAGATATAAATAGATAGATAGTTGGATTGATGGATGCATAGATAGAGATAAATAGATAACATGGATGGACAGACCAACAGGTGATGGATGGATTTAGACAGACAGGCAGGCAGGCAGGCAGGTTGGCAGGCAGGCAGGCAGACAGACAGATATAGAATGATTGAGATAGATTGAGAGAGAATGAGATAGATGGAATAAATAGATAGATTAGATGAGATAGAAATAGAGATGAGATAGAGAGATTATATATATATATATATATATATATATATATATATATATATATATATATATATATATATATATATATATATATATATATATATATATATGAGAGAGGGGGCAGGATGAGATAGGTAGAATGAGATAGGTTGAAAGATCAAATATAGAATGAAATAGATTGATAGAATGATAGAGACTGAGTGAGATTGATATGTAGAATGAGAGAGAGAGAGATTAAGATCATGTTTTGTGTTGACACTATAGTCTGTTATTAAAAGTATGCAAGTGGGTCCCAAGAGTTAGTTCAATCCATGGCACTTTACCCACGCTCAGGGGTACCGTGGTTTCATGCTAAAAATACAACCGTTCCAGCAGAAGAACGGCTGCGCGGGGGGGGAGGGTTTGGAGAGGCGTCTCCCCATCTCAAACTGTTTTCCACTCTCCATTTTCCACCCTGGCTCCCTTCAACCCAGCCAGCTTCTCCACCCCTCCAGCCTCTGACACATGGCATTAATTTCTGGAAACATTTAATCTTCCCTCTACCAAGCATCTCCTCACTTAGCCTCCCCATTTGACAGACATTGACCTAATTGGCGAGAGCAGCGAGGAGGGAGGGGACACTGGGTCAACAGGAGGGTGTGAAAACATGGGGAGGGGGAGGCCCACAAGCCGGCCCAGAGCAAAGAGGGGACGGCATGAAACACCGCCGCCCTGGCATGTGGGGAGGGTGCCACGCAGAGCGAGAGGAAGGTGCCAGACGCAACTGAAGAGGCGACGCAGAAAGTTTGAAGCTAGCAACAGGCCCATCCATCCAAAATAACCCAGCGTTAACCCTTTTTTCCTCCTTTAACCCAGTTTGGGTTTCTTTCGGCAGACCGGAATGAAACCTGCGGGTTTTCTGTATCTGTTGATCACATTTGCATGAGAAAAAAATCGTAAGGACGGGAGAAAGAAATGTAAAGTAATAGCTGAAAAAAAAATGCTCTTTCTGTGGTCCGGGCTGAAAGTCATAAAGCTGGGTGGTTTTCCTTTCCTCAACTTTGATGTACAGGCAGTCCTGGACTTACAACCGTTCGCTTCGTGACTGTTCCAAGTTACAACGGCCCTGAAAAAAATTATTTAGGGCCATTTTCACAGTTACGACCTTGGCCGTATCCCCACGGTCTCGTGATCAAAATTCAGACGCTCGGCAACTGGCTTGTACACACAACGGTTGCAGCGTCCCAGGGTCACGGGATCCCTTCCCCCCACCTTTTGACATGCAAAGTCCAAGGGGGAAGCAGGTTCATTTAACAACCACGTGGCTAAGTTAGCAACGGCAGTGGTTCGTTGTGGTCGTAAGCCAGGACTACCTTAACAATCTGTCAAAGTGGTCTAGTTGCACGGATTCCCCCCCATCCCCTGCGCCTTTAATCTTATCTATAAGCTGATTTTCCAAATGATTTTCCTGAGGTTTCGGCAGTCCAGAGAGATTGAATAGGGCAGCTGTCACTGGGGGTCCTGGCGATAAATCCCTTGCCTATCTTAATTCTCTTGGGCTATCCATCTTTTTTTTTTTTTGCTTTCTTGCTCATCCTGTTCATCGGAAAGGACCTCAAGGACAAACACGTCTGCCTTGTCATCTCTCGGAAGCGTGGCGGTCAAATGGCTGCCGACAGATGTTCCACCCCTGGGAAGCGGAGTAAAGTTTCGCGGCCTCGGGAGAACGTGAAAAAAAATAAAAATAAAAATAAAAATAAAATCAGAAACGGTTTTCTTCACATGAACCGGAGGCCACGAGTGGAAAAACGGCGGAGAAAATATTATCAGCGCCGAGTTGTGGGTTTGTTTATAACTGCTGGGGAACATTCAAGTGGTCCTCAACTTAGGACGGTCGTAAGGGTGAGGACTAGCCATAAGTCACCTTTTTTTCAGTGCCGTTTGTAACTTCGAATGATGGCTAAACAAAAGTCCAGGAGTGTTTGTAGTTTTGCATGTTGAGCAAAAAAAAAATGGGGTTTCTAAGATTTCACGAATTCTTTGTCGTTGTGTCAAAGTTGCTTTTATCAGCGCTGGAAAAGCTTTGTAGGCTCCGTGTTTTTTTCCCCCAGAAAGTTGGAAAACTGAGAAGCCATTTTTTTTTTTAAAGAAAGTTGCAAACATTTTGGGACAGAGGTTTTAAAGTGTTTGTCCTGCCTACCTTTGACGATGTTGGAGTTTTACTTTGAACTGGTTTTCTCTCTCTCTCTCTCTCTCTCTCTTAGAAGATACATCGAGATTAAAATTATTGACGATGAGGAGTATGAAAAAAATAAGAATTTTCACCTGGAATTGGGACCCCCAGTCATCTTGGACATTGGACTCCGGCACGGTAAGGATAGAAAGACGGAAATGGAAAGGAACAGAAGCCTCAGAAATGTATTTTTCTCAGTAAAGAAAAACGTCGATAAGATTTTTTAACATGTTGAAAGTCGTTCGATAAATGCCTGGCTCTCTAGACATCACAAACTACAAGCCCCAGAATCCTTTGCAGTCTTTTCAGCAATTTTGGGAGGATCACAGGGTCTCAACTGATAGTCTGGGATTCTCACCTGGTGGGAGGGCTGGAGAGTTGGGGTCCAGAAGCAAATCCAGCCAGGAGGAAACAGCTTCGTCTCCAGAATTCTCCAGTTTTTACTCTAAGGCCACGTTCTCAACCTGGGCCACTTGAAGAGGGGTGAACTTCAACTCCCAGAATTCCCCAGCCAGTATAGCTGGGGTCCTTGGTGCCCTCTGAGCTTGGTGGTTTTCTTGCAGACGTTTCATTACCAAGTAGTTAAGATCATCAGAGCTAGAAGGGAGTGTGCGGAAAAGAGGAGGAGGAGGAGGAGGAGGAGGAGGAGGAGGAAGAGGAGGAGGAGGAGGAGGAAGAAGAAGAAGAGGAAGAAGAGGAGTCCTACAAATTTAGGCTCCAACTTCTTAGAGGGCTTCAAGGATTGTAAGTATTGTAAGTATTTTGTAGATAGATAGATAGATAGATAGATAGATAGATAGATAGATAGATAGATAGATAGATAGATAGATAGATAGATAGATAGATAGATAGATAGATAGATAGATAGATAGATAGATAGATAGATAGATAGATAGATAGATAGATAGATAGATAGATAGA